CAATGCTTTCTTAGGTCTCAGAACTCGGGCCGGGTTTGGGGGGCATGGTCCCTATGGTTTCGAAAGCAGGTGTTGTGTTCGAGCCGTGATACGGGCGGCTCCCAGCTTCGATTCTGATTTCATGAAGTTATGTCCTCAATTCGTTTTCCCCACCGGAAAATCATAGTGCCCATTACCCCGGTTTCACCTATATACAAGTATAATCTCACGAGTGGGGTCTGGGAAGGGTAGTGTGTAAACAGACCTTACCCCTACCTTGAGGGTAAAGAGGTTGTTTCCGATAGACTCCAGGATCAAGGAAAAAAAAAAATTGGTAACAAGCAATACCAACAATAAGATAATAAGAAAACAAGCAGTAACAATTAAGACTGTCAATAACAGAATACAAGGCTAACTACTAATACCTATATGGGGAAGACACATACACTTCCCAACCTACTAACCTTCTACCTTAATTCTTGACATCCACACCTTCCTATCAAGGTTCATGTCGTCAGTGAGATGAAGCAATATCAAGTCCTACCTAATTACCTCCCCCCAGTACTTCTTTGACCTAGTGGTCTTAAAATACCAATTCTATTTTTTTTTCTAAAATCAGTTTTTGGATTAAACAACATTTAAGTTAATTCATAATGTCACGACCCAAAATGAACTGTCATGATAGAGCCTATCGCGGAACTAGGGCAGCCTCTACTTAACAACTCGTCACAGTAAAAAACTTTGAAAATAAAAACGAAAGCAAATAATATTAAAGAAAGGCCTTTTTGAAAATAGAAATAATCCAAAATACGATACAATCCATTCCAAAATCGGGGTGTCACTGAGTACATGAACGTATAAATCAGAATACAGTCCACTACAGTGTCTAGAGAATAAAATTGAAAATATAAATAGAGATAAAGAAGGAGATTCAAGGCTTGCAAACGCCGTGCAGCTACCTCGATAGTCTCCAAACTCTGAAGCCTCAATCAGCAGCAGCCGTGACCATAAGCGCCTGGATCTGCACACGAGGTGTAGGGAGTAACGTGAGTACATCCAACTCAATAAGTAATAAGTCCAACCTTTGGACTAAAAGGTAGTGACAAACTCAACCGACGCAGGTAAAACAGAAATAACTGTGCAGAAACATAGGCATGCTTTCAAGTTAAACAGATAGCTTAAAATAGTAAAAATAGATCAGAGTTGAACAATGTGAAGAATATAACTCTTCTATCTCTACATGCCAATGCACATGCTGTATGTGATGCACCATGCTGACAGCCTCATGTGCTCACACTCTCAAATGCGCAACCACTCGGTACTGTATATGGCTTATACGGCCCAGGAAAGATCCATCCCGGAATATATACATCACTGACCATCAGTCAACCAGTAACGAGGAAGGCCAATCCAGCCCAATGGAGAAGATCCATCTCCAGGTATCAAGCACTTCAAACAAGATCCATGTCCAGGGAAGATCCATCCCTCAATAATATCAATCGCGCTCACTAGGGGTATGTACAGACTCCGGAGGGGATCCTACAACCCAAGTGTTATCACAAATCAATATAACCACTGAAGCGTGCAGCCCGATCCCATAACTGTCACTCATAATCAGGCTCCCGGCCTCATTCAGTCATCAATCTCTCTAGTCTCACTCACGGTCTTAAAATGTCATGAAAACTAGCCCGAAATAATGATATGATGTATCAATAGATAACAAGTGAGACTGAGATATGATATGAAATACATGTACATGACTGAGTACGAAATATCAATGAAAATAGTAGAATGACAGTAAGAAACGATCACTATGGATCCCAACAGTACCGGCATATAGCCTAAACATGATGTATAGCATGATTTACAGCTCAATTACTTTATCACATTATGAAAATACGGATATCAACAAGATAGAGTCATTATGCAGTGTCATGGAATCAACCAGGTCACAATTCTCATGGTGCACGCCCGCACGCCCATCACTTGGCATGTGCGTCACCTCAATATCAATCACATAACACATAATTAAGGGTTTGGAACCCTCAGAACCAAGTTTAAAAGTGTTGCTTACCTCAATCCGAGCAAAACTCTACAACAAAATGCCTTTGCCTCTCAAATCAGTCTCCAAACGTCCCTAATCTAGCAACAAGTAGTACAATAAAATCAATATAGGCTAAAGGGGTCAATTCCACAAGAAAAGTACTAAATTATTGCCAAAAATCCGAAATCGACCCGAACCCGAGCCCCAGGCCCACGTCTCAAAATCCGACAAAAGTTATAAAACCCGAAAGCTCATTCACTCACGAGTCTAACCATACAAAACTTACTCAAATCCGATAACAAAATCCCATTCAAAACCCCAAAAATCTACTCAAGAACACTTCCTCCTTTTTCCCAATTTTCCATCACAAATCACAAATGAAATGATGAAATTAAAGACATAAACACGGAATTTAGCCAAAACCAAGTAAGAATCACTTTTCCCAATCAACTCCACGAAAACCCCTTCAAGAATCGCTCAAATCTGTGGTCTCTAGCTCAAAATATGAAAAACGGGTTCACACCCTCGTTTTTGAAATTTAACACTGTTGCGCAAGTTATCCTTCATCGCGAACGGGCCATCCTCCGGCGTTCGCATAGTACAACTATGTTGCCCCACACTTTCACCGTACGCGAACGTGAATCAGACCATGCGATCGCGTACAGCTGACTAACTAAAGGTACGGGATCGCATCCATAACTATGCGATCGCATAGAGAAATCACCTAATCCCTGCTCCTGATCTAGCACTCTAAGCGAACGCGGAACTCTCCTCACGACCGCGATGACCAGACTCACCAACCTCCGTAATCGCGTACCTCAACTGGAGATCTCATAGAACAATTCCCCAGTTGCCCTCAATATACCTACGCGATCGCGGACCCACTCATGCAATCGCGTATAAGGAAACCAGAAGAATCACACCAGCAGTTATCAGCCAACATCCTAAGTCCAAAAATGATCTGTTAACCACCCGAAACTCATCCGAGGCCCTCGGGACATCAACAAAATATACTAACAAGTTCCAAAACATCATATGAACTTAGTCGAATCCTCAAATCATCTCAAACAACATCAAAACCACGAATTATACACGGATTCAAGCCTATTGAACTTTAAAATTTCCAAATTCTACAAACGACGTCAAAATATATCAAATCACGTTCGATTGACTTCAAATTTTGCACACAAGTCATAAATGACACCATGAACCTACTCTAACTTCCGGAAATCCAATCCGACCCCGATATCAAAAAATTCACTCCCGGTCAAACTTTCAAAAATTTCTACTTTCGCCAATTCAAGCATAATTCTACTATGGACCTCCAAAACACAATCTGGACGCGCTCCTAAGTCCAAAATCACCTAACGGAGCTAACAGAACCATTAAAATTCAAATCCAAGGTCGTTTACACATAAGTCAACATCTGGTCAACTTTTCCAACTTAAGCTTTCAAATAAGAGACTAATAGCCTGTTTGGCCAAGCTTTTTTTTTGCCAAAAGTGCTTTTTTTTTTGCCAAAAGCACTTTTGGCCTCAATTTGAGGTGTTTGGCCAAGCTTTTGGAAGGAAAAAAAAAGTGTTTTTAAGGAGAAGCAGAAAAAAGTAGCTTCTCTCCAAAAGCACTTTTTTGAGAAGCATTTTTTAGAAAAATACACTTAGAAGCAGTTTTTTATTGGCCAGACACTAATTGCTGCTCAGAAGTGCTTTTCAAACTAATTAGCCAAACACAAACTGCTTCTCAAAAAACTACTTTTGAGAAAAGCACTTCTCAAAATAAACTATTTTTGCAGCTTGGCCAAACGGGCTATAAGTGTCTCAACTCATTCTGAAATCACTCCGGAGCCGAACCAACTAACCTGATAAGTCATAATACAGCTTTGGAACACAAGAGAAGCATAAAATAGGGGAATGAGATTACAACTTTTGAAACGACTGATCGGATCGTTACACATAAGTTAGTTCATAATCTTGGTTCCGTAGAGCATGTCCTTGAGTTGAAAATTGGTACGTCAGAGACATTATTTTTTGCCTTTTAATTATAACACACAAATTACCATGGCGTTCATACGAGCTAGTAGCCATGCCGAATTTACTCCAACACCTAATATAAAAATAGTAGATAAAGGAACAAAATATAGTACATTAAATAATCTAATTAATTACTTCCTTTTCCTTTTTGCTTTGTGAAGTTCTTGTTAAGAGTCATCAACATTGATAACGTAGAGATTTTTTTTTTTGCACTCTTAATATAGTTTAATTTGTAAGAGCTGGTCATTTATGATTATTTTCCCGGTAGTCAATGCTTATTACACTTTATTTGTAATTATCTTATGTAATAGACTTGACTGTGTAAATAATTTTTGAGTTTAAAGTGATGGTAAAAAATATTTACTTAATCAAGTCACTTTTAGGTAACTACAAGTCAATCTCTTGATAAATATTAATCGAAACCTTATACAATAGTCATAACTAACATGCTATCACATATTAAAATTCACTGCTAGTTTAAAAGAATCTTTATACTACCAGTTTATATAACTTAAATCCCTATTTTGTAATATATTGATAATGTCGCACAACTTAAATGCTTAAAAAATAATATGTATTCTCACTTTAATTTTTAACTACTAAAATTAATTTTTTTTATTTGGGGTAAGCACTAGATGCAAGTATATATTTAACTAGAAATTTCAAGTTAGAGTCCTCAAAACAAAGAACCTATTGATAAGGAGCGCTTTACCTCTTAGAGGTCTAACATGGCACGAATATAATTAGTCAGTCCAGTAAATTTCGGAACCAGAAAAAATTAATGACAGAAGGTGGCTTCTGTCATATCCTTCAACTACCAAATGGATCCAAAATAATTTCGACTCTAGTCAACACTTTCTTGAATGCTCACCTACTAGAGAACTTACTAAATCTAGATAGGCTGACTTAGATATGTAACAAAATATTGAACTACATTTCCTAATATCCAATCTTCATAACTTCTAAATCAAGATATGCTGACTTAAATATAACAAACTTTTGAATTCCAAGTTTCAATCTTCACTATAAAGCATTAATCAAAGTATAGTATAAGGCATTCTAGTCAATGCTTCTAGTTTTCAAGCTATGTTTCATTCTTTTTCTTGGCTTATTTTTTCTTCCAATTTTGGTTCCTGCTATGATTTTCATATCAGTGTCTTTAATCTTACTATTTCCAGCTTGGTCTGTGTACATGTTTGGTTTACTACTGCCAGAAATTATGTATAAATGTCCCAAAAAGATAATTGAGTTATCAACTGAAGGAAATCATGGTCAGGAGAGGCAAGTTAGTTTCCAGTTGGACCCTTATGAGTTTCCTAATTTTGATCTTAGTGAATCAGAAGAAGATGAAATAAAAATGGATGAAGTTTGCATTGATCAAGAAGCAAATCCAACACCAGTTCCTGAGATTCGTGGACAAAAATCGGTACGTTGGTTTTACAAGCCTGACTAGTTTAATTTTTCATTCGAAGTGAATTTTTCAAGCCTATTTTGGAAAATATTTTTCTGGAGCCGAGAGTCGACCAAAAATAGTATCTCTATCCCACAAAGGTAAAGGTAGAAGCAAGGTCTATGTACACACCACCTTTCCCATATCCTACTTGTGAAATCACACTGGAAATGTATATGTTGTTGTTGTCGTTGTTGTTGTACATGTTAGTATGAAGTAGAACTTTTCATCCATTTTTCATGCTATGAACAAACTTTCGTCCAAAAAAACATATACACTGTATTATCCAATGATTATTACTCCTCGTTTTACATATCTGCATTATAAAAAAAAAAGGGGACAGCCGGTGCATTAAGCTCCCGCTAGGCGGGGTCTGAGGAAGGGTCGGGCCATAAGGGTTTATCGTACGCGCAACCTTACCCTACATTTCTCAAAAAACTGTTTCCAGCCTTATAATATCTGCAATATAATCCCTGCATAATTTATTCGCAAAATAAACAACACCATTCAACTTGCTATTGATTCATCTCGTAACTTAAAGAATCATGGATGTAATTGATATACTAATGTATATGTCAACTTATGTTTCCCTATATACAAGAATAATGCTAATATGTGTGCTTTGATTTCTGTAATGTGCAGTTTGATGAATTGATGTCATTTTGGAGAAGGCAAGCGGAAGAAAAGCAGTACAAATATGTCTGAGACCACTCTAGTTTCTTTTTCTTATTACTGTCTAAGTTTACTCTGTTAAGTGTCTAAAATCTTTAAACTGTAAAAAAGTTTGCAGTAATAATAAAACCATGTTATTTGTTCCAAAAGCATATAAAGTTGTTTTATTTCATCATGCCATATATAAGGCCACGCATTACAAACATCGGGATTCGGGATTTAAATTTTACGAGTTCAATTTTAAGATTTTTAGCATTACTCTTTATATACTTAAAGTTATGGCTTCACATATATACTTTAATGCTATTTTAATAATTTTTGCACATAAATTTATAATTCGCATCAAAATTATGAGTTTAATTGAACCAATTACTATAGGGCTATATCCGTCCCCTTATTACAAAGGGTTCCATACATTTATTTGTTGTCAATACTCAATATTATGCCATAACTATGCACAAAACAATATACTCAGTTCCTCAATTCAGAATTGGCACCATCAAAAATTCAGGATCTGCCACTAGTTATAGTAATAGTAGAATACGCAAATTAATTCATTGAATATATATCCCCATCCTAAGTAATGAATCACCTAGTGTTACCTGAGATACATTAGTGTTTTTGCAGGACGGATAATATTTTTAAGAAATTTTTTAGATGAAACTTTATCTCGCTATCTAACACTCTCTAAAATTTAGAAATTGAATGTACTAATGGAAAAAAAAAACATAAGCGAAGAAAGTCATTTTGTTCCTTTTTAACGGAAAGTATTTTTCAAGAAAAATATTTTTTGGTGTTTGATTGCAAGAAACGACTTATTTTCTGTTTTTTCATACCAAATACACCACTACAACAACATACCTAATATTATCTCACACCGTGGGGTCTGGGGAGGGTAGTGTATACGCAGCCCTTACCCTTTCCTTGTGAGGATATAGAGGCTATTTTCAATAGACCATCGGCTCACGAAAGCATAAAAGCCTACTACCAATAAACAGCGAGACTGCATAATAATACTACTGTTATGAACACTCTAGACTACCTACTCTACTAACCAAATCTTCGACTTCCATACTTTTCTATCAAGGTCATGTCCTTGGTCACCACATAAACAACTAAATCAATCGAACTTTGTGAGCTGATGAGAAATGCTTGGCTGCAGATATCATAGTTGCCTCAGGTCGGTCCAGATATCGAATTTTTCACAACTTTGCTTTCATTTTTAATGAAGAAGCACGAAAGAAATGGCCTAAGAGAAGAAGAGAAATCACTGTTTTTCTTCTTACTGTAACTCATTTTCTTTGCTTTCCAGAATTTAATATTTCAGCAGATTTTGAGAAGAAATAAAAAAATGTTGAGATTGAAGAATAGAAGTCAATATTGATCACAACGACAAAAGGGGTTGGATTTTCTTGAGTGTGTTTTATGTTAGGACCCGGTGGCACTAAACACTACTGCACAGCGAAATAAAATAAATGATCAACGAA